AGAAGGATGCCCCTCCCTCTCCAGAGGGAGGGGCATCCTTCTCTGAATCCATCCTCTGAAATGGTGGCTTGTCCTCTCAATCTCTTTCCCAGGTTCTTCAAACTTCACGAGAGGAAGTGTGAGCCGATCATCATGACCGTCCCCCGGAAGGTGAGCCCCCCCCTCCAAAAGGTTCTTCTAGGCTTGAGAGATTCGGCCAAGTTCTCCGAGGCAGAGCAACTGACCGGACTGACGCCTGGTCGCTTTGACTCCTCCTCCTCCTCTTCCTCTTCTCCTCCTTCCCCAGTCTGACCTGTTTCAGGATGACCTCTATCCAGACACGGCTGGGCCTGAAGCCGCCCTGGAAGCCGAGGAGTGGTTTGAGGGGAAGAACGCCGACCCCCTCCTCATCTCCCTGAAACACGGATACATCCCGGGGAAGAACCGGGACCTCAAAGTGGTCAGGAAGAACATCCTGGACAACAAGCCGGCTGCCAACAAGAAGAGCGATCTCATCAGCACCCCAAAGAAAGCGACGGACACCTCAAACCCTGTGAGTAAACAAACCCATCCTCCTGCACCAGGGCGAACCGTTCTGCTTCAGCACTGTCTCTGGCCCAAAATCCATCCTTGTCTGTCGGCCTCGTAGCCAAGCTGGGTTTGGGGGCTTCCCTTATCCTCCCCCCTCCCCATCCTGGGTTCCTCCCGGTCCCCACTCCGGGACCGACCCTTTGCCTCTTTCTCTCCCTGTCGCAGCAAAACGAAGCCAAATTGGAAGAAATCTTGAAAGAGGTCCGATCTCTCAAAGAGACACTCGCGCATCAGGAGGAGCGCATTTCCAAACTAGAACAGCAGGTGGCGAAGATGTCCTTCTGAGAGCCAGCCGGGGAGGGGGAGGGGGTGTCTACGGCAGGGGGAGGAGGAAGGAAGCAGGATTCGGACTGTGAGCCGCCTGCAGGGCTGCGGAGAGGGAACGGGGCACAGCCGGCGAGCCCAGCCCCGTCACGGCCGGGCAGCCGAGCCTTTTCCAGCCAGCAGCCCACCTCATCTCCCGACGTCTTTGCGGCCATTCCAGAACAGACACTGCCGCCTCCCTTCCTCGCGCTCGTCCATCGGTCGGAGGGTCATCCATTCCACGGGATCCGTAAGACGCCAGGATCCCTGCCGGACTTCCTAGAATCGGGGACCAAAATTTCTTCATTTAAACACACACACACACACACACACACATTTGTTTTTTTGTTTTTACTTTCAAGTTGCCAAAATCCAAAACTTTTTTTTTAATCCTTTGATTTTCATTTCTTCCTTTTTACAGTATTTTGTGTTTTTAATCTAAAAGGACGCTGTGTACTTGTGCCATCTGAGCAACAAACAAATTGTGTAGGCCTGTTTACTTTGGAGCAACTGGTGCCCCCCCCCCCCCCGCCCCCCTTCCGCCAGGTCAAAAAGGCCCGTTTTAATCTTTCCGATTTCTGGTTCCCCTGAAATCTGCCTGGATTTGAGGAGGGGGAGGGGAGGCAGCCTTGCTTTCCCACCCGCTGCCATTTCAAGGGACTGAAACCACCCACCCACCCACCCACCCACCCA